AAAAAAAATTAAATAAACAAATGTTCTTATAATTACATTCAACACACCTTTTCCCTTTCCCTTTCCCTTTCCATTTCCAAATCCCTAGCTAAATCCATGATCCAAACATAACATTAAGGAAATATGATGGTTTCAACGTTATAGAAAGCAAAGCACATTCACATAATTTTCTTCTTCTTTTGTGCTAGTTTATTATTTTCCAAAAAAATTCAAAATATAATAAAAATGTGGGAGTGTATTTTCCAAATGATTTGAGCCAACATCAATCCATATGTTATAGTTACATGAAGTTATATATCATAAAGTGAGTAATTATAAATGACAGCAACTATGGCTTTGGTTATAATTCTTGCTTAACATAAATTATTTTTACGTAGAAAAGTTCCTAGAATTTGAATGTTTGGTATAGATTTAACTTGATGTGATGTGGACCACACCCTATATCAATGAAGATCATTGATGATGCTAATAATGACAGCTATTAGGACATATTGGTAGTTTACCCTTTTATTTGTTGTTGGATTCAATGTGATGATAATGAAAGCATTTTATTTTTTTTTACTTAAATTACTTCATTTTTGACACATGGTGGCATAGGCAGCATCAGAGCTAATTCGAAGTTCTGCTGAGCCAATTCTTGAACAATATCGATCAGTTATCTTATCATCTCTCAAGTTTTCAAAGTTGACTCTTGGTACTGTGGATGCACAATTCACAGGTTTGTTTGATTTCTATTTGATCTTTGATGAGGAAGTTTAACTAATTTTTAACTAGTTAAATAAGGAAGTTTAACTAATTTTTATCCCAATGCTTTCATGGATTTTGGAAAGAATTGTACTTCTCAATTTACAATTACATTCTTCTGAGAAAATCAAATGAGAAAAGAATGGCCTATCAGATTGGATTGGTCTAAAGTTATTGCACATTAGCAAGTCAGAATTCACTCCACAACTTCTGTTTCTTTAATCTTCAAAAATATATGTATTTTATTTTTCACTTTATGGAATTATTATGGCCAGAGGTAGAGTCAATCATCTTCAAGAATAGACACAAGAATTGAAGGAAATAATTTAAATTTATTTGGACCATCAATTTTATTTTATTTTTAATCTTTTTTAAGGTATTGATAGAAAATTGTTGATCTTTTTAGGGGTTCCAATTATTGAAGGCGATGCTAAGGGAATCACGATGGAATTGAAAATGCAATGGGATGGAAAGTATCATACTTGATGTTAAAACTAGAGTCGGCATTGGATTACCTACACAGGTGATCTTCAACTTATTTCTCATATCAATAAAACTTTTTCCTAGTAGCAAAACTATTACAAAACTACTCTAAAATTTATTTGATTTTCCCTTTTTATTTATTTATTGTGTATATAGTACTTCTAATACTTATTTTACAAACCTATTTTGTTCAAAAATTGGACAAATTTTGAATTACTCATATATGAACTTGTAGATTATTGAGAATTGGAAGATTCAAAATTTATTATGCTCAAAACCTAAACAAATTTAGAACCAACTCAGCTATGAACTTGCAGATTTTGAATGTTTTAGTTAAAAACAAAATAATTCATGTTGCCTAACCAAACAGGCTCTAAGTTGAACAATTCCTCTGTCATTCAGCATCTTAGCAAAAGTAAAAAAAGCATAGTCATAAATTTATTTGATGCCTAAAATGTATTCAAAACCCGTAAACTAATAGCTCTTTCCAAATTCAATCAATGAACCAAATTGAAAGAAAACCAGTAACATAGACAATAAGATAAGCCAAAACCACTAACAAAATGCGCAAGCAATGATGCTACCAATTCCCATTGTCAATTGTCAATTATACAAGTTTAAGAGAACTATTCAAGATCATGAAACATATGGTAAAAAGGTATATTGGCTAAGCATCAATGCATAATAATACTTCAAAAATCGCCCGCGATGCCAACTATATAAGATGATGATACTAATAGACACCACTTAAAACCCATCAAAATTCATGGTCTCACTTTTTCTTTTTCTTTTTTAAAAAAGTCAATTACAAAAAAGCAAAAGCACCAAAATCACACTTAAAATGAAAAAGGTCCACCCCATTCAATAATGCACTTGGCTTCATTGAGACAATTAGCATAAGATGCTCATACATGCATACAAATATACAAATACAAATCTATACAGCATAAACTGAAAATAACAGCATACATACACACGTATAATATAATCAAATAAAAAGATATAGAAACACTAGCTTCATGAAGTGAGTAAAAAGATCTGAGAAAGGAAAATGAGCAAAAAGCTCACAACTCCAGTTGGAGAATAGGTTGTGACAGTGAACTTGTGGTCGCTCTGGTAGTCCTTGTAGAGAAGATCTAGCATAAAAATTAAACAATTAAATCACTCAAAATATACAATCAACACACCAATAACTCAACAAGAAACATAGATACATGATTCATACACGTATACACAGAGAGAGAGAGAGGGAGAGAGAAAGAGAGAGAGAGAGAACCTCGTGCTTTCTTGCCAATTTCAGTGTAAAGACCAGGACCTTTGGCCATGATTTCCTGTAGAAATGGAGACCAAAAAACACAGAATCAAGAGAGAGAGAGAGAGAGAGCTTTGTTCCAACCAAACAGCACATAGATGCGATTTAGGGCTATATATATAAAACCAGAAAGCCCTACTTCTTCAGACTTTTCTTAATGGTGTGTGCGACGACTGCTTCTTCTTTGGAGAATCTAGACCGTAGATTTTAACGAGAAGGAGTGACAGGGTAGGACTTGGAGGCCAGGCAACATCGGAAGATCTGCTGCTGCTCCAACGCTGCTTCTCCTCCTCCGACGCTTCTCCTCCCCCGACGACGACGCTAGGTTTGAGATTGGGGATGGGGAGGGAATCGAAAAAAAAGGGGCGGGAATAAAAAATTAAAAATAAAAAAGATTTTTTTTTTGGATCAAAAATGAAATTTAAATAACAAAATAACCTCGTTTAATTTTTTTTTTTTTTTTTTGCGACGAGGGTTGCCGTCGTCAAAATATTTTTTATTTTTTGTTAAAATATATATTTTTTTGTAGTTGATGAATTTTTTAAAAAAAAATTTCCTTTTTTTTAGTTATTAAGATTGAAAATTTATTTGTTTTATTTTTATTTGGTAGAAGTAGGGGTAATATTTTAATGAAAAATATTTCCACTAAAATAAAAGTTAATTTTCTTTGGTCAATAAAAAATATTTTTCTGCGGCCCATTTTTTTTTTGTTATTAAAAATCATGAACTAATTTTTTGTGGTAGAGAAGAGGGAGCGGCAATAGTGGTGAAGGTGGTGGATAAGAGATGATGGTGGTGGTGGTGGTGATGGCGAAGGAGATTAGTGGTGAAGTTGTGGTAGCGATAGAGTAGATGGAATGGCAGGGGTGAAGGAGAGGTAATGGTAGTAGTAGTGGTAGTGGTGGTAGTGGAGTGGTGGCAATGGTAGTAGTAATGGTAGTCGTAGAGGTGAAGTGGCGACAGTGGTAGTAATGGTGGTAGTGGAATGGCGTTTGCAGTAGTGGTGAAGGTGGTAAAGGAGATGGGTGGTGAGAGAAAGATAGAGAGATGAGCGAGAGACAAATAAATGAGAGAGACAGAGACATAGTGATGAGCGAGAGAGAGACAAAATGGTCGCTAAAAGTACATTTTCTTGTAGTAGATAGATAAATCGAGAGGGAGCTCAATAAATAGAGAAGACAGAAGGGAGAGAGTGAGCAACGCGAACACAGTGGAGGGTGAGAGAGAGAGAGAAAGAGAAGGGAGTGAGAGGAAGAGAGAGAGACAAAAAGATAAAGAGATAGAGAGTGAGAGACAGAAAAAAAGACAGAGAGATAAGAGATATGAACGAGATAGACAGAGAGAAAGAGAGATAGAGAGAAGAGAGATGAGGGAGAGAGACATAGAGAGAAGAGAGATGAGTGAGAGACAGAGAGAAGAGAGATGAGTGAGAGACAGAGAGAGATGAGAGATGAGAGATGAGCGAAAAAGACAAGGAGAGAAAAGAGATGAGAGAAGAGATAGATGAGTGAAAGACACAGAGAGATAGAGAGAGATTGATAGAGAGAGAAGAGTGATGAGTGTGAGAGAGAAAGAGAAAAGAGAGAGGAAGATGAAAAAATGGGTGAAAAGATATAGACAGAGAGAGAGAAAGAGAACAAAAAAGAGCAAAAAGAGATAAACGAGAGCGAGACAGGGAGAGATGAGCGAGAGAGAGAGAGAAAAGAGATGAGAGAGATAAACAGAAGAGAGATGGACGAAAGACACAAAGAGAAAGAGAGAGACAGACAGACAGACAAAGAAAAGTGATGAATGAGAGAGAAAAAGAAGAGAGACAAAGACAGAGACACAGAGAGAAAGAGAGAGACAGACAGATAGAGAAGAGTGATGAGTGAGAGAGAGAGAGAGAGAGAAGAGAGACAGAGAAAGAGATAAGAAGATAAAAAAAATGGGTGAAAAGAGAAATGTTCAAAAGAGTAAGACTACGTCTTTTTTTTTTTGTTTTTTTATTTTATTTTGGTGACAGAAAAATAACGTTGCATTTATTTAAACTATTTTGTGACTATATATATATGAAGTCGTCTCAAAGCCACAATATATATATATATTTTTTTTTTTTTTTTTTGCCCTATTACGATTTCAAAAAACTATTCTTTTTTTTTTTTTTGCGGCTGCAGCTGGTACCGTCACAAAAACTCTATTTTTTGCAACGGCAAGTTGTGCCGTCTCAAAAAGTCACATTTTTTTTTTTGCGACGGCAAGTTCTGCCATCTCAAAAGGTCACATTTTTTGCAACAGCAAGCTGTGCCGTCTAAAAAAGTCACATTTTTTTGCGACGGTAAGTTGTTCCGTCTCAAAAGGTCACATTTTTTGTGACGGCAAGCTGTGTCGTCTCAAAAAGTCACATTTTTCAGCGACGGCAAGTTATGCCGTCTCAAAAGATCACATTTTTTGCGACGGCAAGCTGTGCCGTCGCAAAAAGTTTCGTCTTTTAAGCCCACTTTTCTTGTAGTGATGTGAGAGGGGTGGTATTTATAAGACTTGGGAGGGAGGAGTTAATTTATATATATATAAAAATAAAATAAAATAAAAATTGATTGTTGGTGGAATTAACGGTTATATGACTCTTTCAAATTGTTTTGATTTAAATTTTTGACCATTGCACTGACAAGAGAGGCAGGGAGCCATTGGGGTTGAGTCGAGCCAGATGGGGAAGAAAATTTCGGGGCGAGCTCACGGGATGGGTCACACTCCATAACACCAGGGTCGGGCCAGGCTCTAGAACACATATCTTTGGTTGGGTTTAGGCTCCAGCCTAGTTGGACCTACCCAGGGCACGAGCAGACTTGGGGTGTGCCTCGAGCTCTTGGGCCAAATTTACACCCCTATATGTGGGTAGTGGTTATAATATATGTGATATTGATTATGAGACAAAGGGTGCTGGTTATGAGATGTGGTTATAACATATGTGGGTTTACGCGTGTCCGGAGATATATGATTAGTGATTATGAGATATGTGATTTTGGTTATGAACAGAGTGGTATAGTTATAAGTTAAAGAGTGTTTGGTTATGAGATATGTGATTAGTAGTTATGATATATGTGATGTTGGTTATGAGATATGTGGGTAATGGTTATGAGCAAAGTGGTGTCAAAGGTTGTTTGGTTATGCTATATGTGTTAGTGGTTATAAGATATGTGGGTAATAGTTATGAGCACAGTGGTGTCAAAGGGTGTTTGGTTATGCTATATGTGTTAGTGGTTTATGAGATATGTGAGTAATGGTTATGAGCAAAGTGATGTCAAAGGTGGTTTATAAGATATGTGAGTAATGGTTATGAGCAAAGTAGTGTCAAAAGGGTGTTTGGTTATACTATATGTATTATGAGATATGTGAGTAATGGTTATGAGTAAAGTGGTGTCAAAGGGTGTTTGGTTATGCTATATGTGTTAGTGGTTATGAGATATGTGGGTAATGGTTATGAGTGGTTATGAGATATGTGGGTAATGGTTATACTATATGTGTTAGTGGTTATGAGATATGTGGGTAATAGTTATGAGTGGTTATGAGATATGTGAGTAATGGTTATGAGCAAAGTGGTGCCAAAGGGTGCTTGGTTATGCTATATGTGTTAGTGGTTATGAGATATGTGGGTAATGGTTATGAGCAAAGTGGTGTCAAAGGGTGTTTGGTTATGCTATATGTGTTAGTGGTTATGAGATATGTGGGTAACGGTTATGAGCAAAGTAGTGTCAAAGGGTGTTTGGTTATGCTATATGTGTTAGTGGTTATGAGATATGTGAGTAATAGTTTTGAGCAAGGTGGTGTCAAAAGGTGTTTGGTTATGCCATATGTGTTAGTGGTTATGAGATATGTGGGTAATGATTATGAACAAAGTGGTGTCAAAGGGTGTTTGGTTATGCTATATGTGTTAGTGGTTATGAGATATGTGGCTAATGGTTACGAGCAAAGTGATGTCAAAGGATATTTGGTTATACTATATGTGTTAGTGGTTATGAGATATGTGGGTAATAGTTATGAGCAAAGTGGTGTCAAAAGGTGTTTGGTTATGCTATATGTGTTAGTGGTTATGAGATATGTGGGTAATGGTTATGAGTGGTTATGAGAAATGTGGGTAATGGTTATGAGCAAAGTAGTGTCAAAAGGTGTTTGGTTATGCTATATGTGTTAGTGGTTATGAGATATGTGGGTAATGGTTATGAGTAAAGTGATGTCAAAGGATGTTTGGTTATGGCATATGTGTTAGTGGTTATGAGATATGTGGATAATGGTTATGAGTGGTTATGAGATACGTGGGTAATGGTTACGAGCAAAGTGGTGTCAAAGGGTGTTTGGTTATGCTATATGTGTTAGTGGTTATGAGATATGTGGGTAATGGTTATGAGTGGTTATGAGATATGTGGGTAATGGTAATGAGTAAAGTGGTGTCAAAGGGTGTTTGGTTATACTATATTTGTATGTGGTTATGAGATATGTGGGTAATGGTTATGAGTGGTTATGAGATATGTGGGTAATGGTTATGAGCAAAGTGGTGTCAAAGGGTATTTGGTTATGCTACATGTGTTAGTGGTTATGAGATATGTGGGTAATAATTATGAGTGGTTATGAGATATGCGAGTAATGGTTATGAGCAAAGTGGTGTCAAAGGGTATTTGGTTATGCTATATGTGTTAGTAGTTATGAGATATGTGGGTAATGGTTATGAGTAAAGTGGTGTCAAAGGATATTTGGTTATGCTATATGTGTTAGTGGTTATGAGATATGTGGGTAATAGTTATGAGTGGTTATGAGATATGTGAGTAATGGTTATGAGCAAAGTGGTGTCAAAGGGTATTTGGTTATGCTACATGTGTTAGTGGTTATGAGATATGTAGGTAATAGTTATGAGTGGTTATGAGATATGTGAGTAATGGTCAAAGGGATTGGTTATGAGATGTGGTTATGATGTATGTGGGTAGTGGTTATGAGATATGTGATTAGTGATTATGAGATAAGTGATATTGGTTATGACAAAAAGGTGTTGGTTACGAGATATGTGACCAGTGGTTATGAGATATGTGATGTTCGTTATGACTCAAAGGGATTGGCTATGAGATGTGGTTATGATGTATGTGGATAGTAGTTATGAAATATGTGATCAATAGTTATGAGATACGTGACATTTGTTATGATCAAAGTGGTGTTGGTTATGAGATATGTGATTATGATTATGAAATATGTGATATTAGTTATGAACAAAATGGTATTGGTTATGAGATGTGGTTATGAAATATGTGATATTAGTTATGAACAAAATGGTGTTGGTTATGAGATGTAGTTATAGCTAAGTTATGATCAATTTGATTATAGTTATGAAAAAATATGATTTTAGCTCATAACTATAAAAAGTGACCTGTTTAGCAGGTCACTTTTAATGATGTGGCTCAATCCTAACCATTGATTGTGTATGTACCGTACATTTTTTGTACAAAATGTACTATAGACTTTCCCTCTTAACTTTTTATTTTTATATTGACTTGCTCTTTTGGTGCTACCTGTGTTTGGTCCCAACCCAATGCATATTTCATAAATCAACACTCGTTCTATGCAAGGAAATGAATTTGTTTCCATACACAAATAAGTGAGGCAGATTATGCTGTTTGGCTCCGTGGGTCTGTTACGGATCCATCTTGATGATTAGAATTATTTATTCTATTGAGCGTTTTCTTTATTTCATTCAATAAAAAATTAAATCGATCTAATAATCATAACTTATTCAATTTATAGCGTTTATCGGCAAAAAAATGAATGGTTTATTTTTAACGCGATAAATTGAATAAATTATGATCACTGAATCGAGTTAATTTTTTGTGTGGATGAAATATACGAAATGTCCAATAAAATGAATAATTTGTATTATCAAAACGGGACCTGTGCTGAGCTGCACAGGCCTCTTCCTCCATAAATAAAAGGGGAATTTTCAATGCAAGGTAAGTTTTAAAAAATAATTACAAATAAGTGGTAAACTTTATGGATATTAATAATTAAAATTATAAATTTTTTCGTGAATTTGTAATAATTCTCTGAAATTAACATTGAATAAATAAAAAACCAAAATTTACTTTACCCCTGTATGATTTAACCCATGTGTGAATTACCCGCTTCACATTTGGAAATAACCACATAGCACCGTTGTGGTTTGTTAATTGAAATGCATTGTTAAACATTTCATCTAATTTAACAGAAGTATGAAATACAACAAGGGGTTAGATGGTCATTTTCAAATTTCAAGTGGTAAATCACATTGAATAAAGAACAACGGTTATAGTACATTTTGTCTCCCAAACAAAAGAGGAAAATATTCGTAATTCACAAACTCATGTTATTTATATACAAAGGTATTTTAATTTTTTTTATTAAATGATTACGGGCTTAACTGTGCATTTCAATTCACAAGCCACAAGAGGCCATGTAGTTTCCAAATAAAAAGGGTGTAATCCGCACATAAGCCAAACCATAAGAGATAAAGTAAAATTTGTCCTAAATAAAATCTAAAGAAAATAACAGATCATGAGAAAAAAAGTTTCAAAAATAAATTATAAATTAATGAAAAATTTCATCGGTATCAATAATAAAAATCTTAATTTTGTCATGTATTTGTAATATTTTTTTTTAATTGAAAAAAAATCAAAAATCAAAAATTAAGAATTCAAAATTCAATATTGAATATTGAATTTTGTAAATCAACAATTAGTTTAATAAATTATTTAATATGTACACACACACACACACACACAAAATTAAATAAATAAAAATTTATTATCTTCCAATTTTTCTCATTCCCGTAGTATATGCTCCAGTAATAATGCTAAAAAAGTTCCGAAAAATTATAAATCAGTTGAAAGACAAAAAAAAAATTTGCAAAATCATAAAAAAAATTATCACTTCAATTGCAATTTCCCCAAAAAATACACACAACAATCAGTTACAAAACATTCATAAGAGATGAATCCCATCATGAGACCAATACACTCTGAATGTTTTGTCATTGGTTTTCTGCAATAAAAGTGCTGATAATGCAATTACATTTAAGCATGCCAATGCCATAGAGTTGATTGGTAAAATTTAATGACACGCCACTGAACTCAAATGCGGAGGACTAGTGGTGGCTTGCACGTTTGACCATCGGGTGGCCGACGCTTACTCCACCAAGATGTTTCTTGTCTCGTGGGCAGAGATGGCTCAGCACAAACAACTGTCTTTGCTGCCATCAATCGGAGGATCATTACTCGGCCCTCAACAGCCCGGAAGGTATAATCCTTTCTTGGATGACATGTATGTGCCTGTCTCTGCCGTACCACCACTACCCAAAAATCCGAAGCCCAATGTCGATGAGTTGATAAGTCGCATCTATTATATTGAGGCTGATCAACTCAGTCGTCTCCAGTCATTAGCCAATCATGGTACTAGCGGACGAGGGAGGACCAAGCTTGAGGCATTTAGTGCCTTCTTGTGGAAACTAGTTGCTGCTAGGGAAGCTGAAAGGGACAAGATTTGCAGGATGGGTATTGTAGTAGATGGACGAATGAGATTGAGAGAAGCAGATGCAGATATCAAAAAGGCAACCCTGATGGATGCTTACTTTGGGAACGTTTTGTCCATTCCGTTTTGCAAGGAAAGAGCGGGCGACCTCAAGGAGAAGCCGTTGAGTTTGGTGGCGGAGGCAGTTCATGACTGCTTGGCAAATGCAGCGATGAAGGAGCATTTCTTGGACCTAATAGATTGGGTAGAGGCTCACCGTCCTGAACCAGCTCTGGCAAAGATATATGCCGATAGTAGTGGAAAAGAGGACGATGGACCGGCTTTTGTGGTGTCATCTGGCCGACAATTTCCAGTCTCAAAGGTGGATTTCGGTTGGGGAAGGCCAACGTTTGGGTCTTACCACTTCCCATGGGGTGGGGAGGCTGGCTATGTCATGCCCATGCCAAGTCCTCTGCAAAATGGTGACTGGATTGTCTACATGCACTTGCTGAAAGAGCAATTGAAGTTCATAGAGACCAAAGCTGCTCATGTGTTTAAGCCCTTAACCTTTGATTATCTGAATCTTAACTAGCAAAAGAATGAGAAAAAAATTGTGTACAAGTGGGTGGTTTTTATGAATTAACAACATAAGCACTCTTTGTTCAAAAAAACCAAAGCACTCTGCTCCTTCCTCCCCAATGAATTTGATCCTTTGCCATGCAAGTTTCTACCGAGATCTTGTTTTGCTATTCAGTGAAAAAACATGCCACAGCCCTCTCTTTTTTGATGTTTTTCTGTGTACTGCTTGTACTCTTTTTTCATCAATAAAACCATTCAGTTCTGAAATATCATGAGTGCCACCTCCTCCCTCCTACAACATAATCAAAATCCAATTTTAGGTATCATCTAGTTCATATATAAACCCCCAATATAAATTATACTGAAAAATACAGAATGATCTGTAACAAACAAAAACAAGAAGAGCAACTTATTTGAAAATTAAATTGTCACAGAAGAAATAAATTATTTGATCGCTTACAAAAAAACTGATAATAAAAAGTAAATTATTAATATCTTTGGACGTGTGAGGATAGTATTCTCTAATTAAGCGAAAATTATACAATAGTTTTGGAGTATTACGTGATCATATCCCTCACCAATAACCATTTATTATATCTTCTAATGTTCCTCAATCACCTAACACAAATAATTAATACTTTACCTTTTTCACCAATCATGTTATCATAGAACACCATCTGACCATATTCCCAAAATACTAAATAATTATCCCCGAGTAAGAATGCATCTTTGGTTGTTTCAATATACTTGCAGCCATTGCAACTCCCAAAAATAAAATAAAATAAAATGTCGTTTTGAGCCAACAACCGCCATGTTAAGAAAATGGTCCCAAAAAGTTTATAATTTATAGGGAAAACTATTTTCCAAATAATTTCAAGATTTGAGCCTTTTTACAAAATAAATTTTTAATTTTATAAATTTAAACACTCGTTGGAAAATGATACTTTAGGCATTTTATATATGAGATATTCTATTTACACACCACACATCATCTCAGTGCACACCAAACACAATTTTGACATTATTATTTTTGCTCAATGCACACCATCCATTTTCTACCTAAAATATCCTCATCTTCTTCAACCACCCCACCAACGCTAACCCTAACCTAGTCACCGCCACTCACCATCGGCCGTCGCCTCCTCCTCATTTTTCTCTAGCGAATTTCTTCCTCACTTCTCCATTCATCACTCCTCCTCCCTTACCATCGCCAGCCTCACTCCCAAACCCTTTTCCACCTCCCTTCTTCTCTCCACTAGTGGCTCCACACCTCCCGACTATCGTCGCCGCAACCTCTCATCCCATCGCATCTTCTTCTTCTTCTTATTTTCTCTCTCTAAAAACTACCAAACCCACCCTCACCACTGTGTCACTACCCAAATCCGCCCATATAGGTTTAGCGCCGTAACCAGCAAGTAATCGTAAGATTACCAAAGGCCTCTGAGACAAATTAGCAAAATAAGGGGCTACCAGAAGCAAATATCAAACATACAATGTCCATAGAGTTGTGCAAACTTATATAGGACAGAAAATTTGAACTTACATTCACATATATTTTGATGTTATACTAGTGTCAACACATCGTCACAAGTACAGATAGAACCAAAGGGACTTAGCCCTATGTACAAAATAAACAAAAGACAATAAGAGCTTAAGACTTGATCACAAAACATTGATTACGGAACTCATCCACAAAAGATGTAACACTCCATAAATTTTCCCTCTGCTCAAACACAAGAATTGACGCTCGAGCGGTCTTGTGAGGCTTCCAGTACTTTTGCAGTCTGTCCGAGATTCTAAGAGTTGTGAGTTTCTGTTCGAGCGCGGGAGTGGTCGCTCAAGCGTCAGCTTTGTTGGTCTGTTCGCTCAAGCGCAAGATTGGACCAAAAACTTTGACTCGGATAATTTTCCTCTGAATAACCATCATTCTTTTACTATTTTCTTTTTCCACCCTTTGAATTTGGGTGTGCGGCTAGAACCATTGGAAAGCTTGTTTCCGGGGTTTCGGTTTGGACACAAAAACGACCTAAACTGGAGTCCGAATGAGAGAGTTATGCCCGTTTGAAGTTTGAATATCTGTGCTGAAAGCTCAAGTGCAGGAAGTGGAGCTCTAGCGGATTGCACGAATTCAGCAAAGTGCCTTTCTAGATCATTCTCTCCACTTTTCTTTTCTCTCTTCCTTCCTCTCATCCTAAGACCGAAAACCCTTTCCGGGGTTTCGGTTTGCACACAAAAACCACCTAAACAGGAGTCCGAATGAGAGAGTTATGCCCGTTTGAAGTTTGAATATCTGTGCTGAAAGCTCAAGTGCAGGAAGTGGAGCTCTAGCGGATTGCACGAATTCAGCAAAGTGCCTTTCTAGATCATTCTCTCCACTTTTCTTTTCTCTCTTCCTTCCTCTCATCCTAAGACCGAAAACCCTTGATTTCTTGACCCAAATACCTTCTATTTCTCAAAGATTTGGCCAAGATCTCTTACCAAAAGTGAAGAATACATGAAGATTTCATTTTCCTACTGATTGGATTTTTGGTTTTATGAAGGAATCTCTTGGAGCCTTGCTTTCTTGCTTGATCATTGAGGTAGGGGTTTTTAGTACTCCTTCAATCCTCTCATTTATAGATAGATTTGTACTATTTTCTTATATAAATACAAAATTTATATTTTTAAGCACATTGTGAAAAAGCTTGAGATTGGAGGTTTAGGGTTTGAAGGATTGGGGTTTACTTGTTGGGTTATTATTTTGAGTTATGAATTTGGGTGTATAAGCAATAGAAGAGTTGGAATAAAAAATGTTTTGTGAAAAATTTTAATTTCTCTTGAAAACCCTAGTTTGGTTCATGAAGATAGATGATAGTTTTGCTTAAATTAAAAGTAGTATCATGAAATTGAGGTGCTAAATTACACATATACAAGTTTAACTGAAATTTTAAAGATTTTGAAAATTTATGTAAAAGTTGCGATTGAACTCTTAATGTTGATATTTTAAATTATATTATGGGCTGTGATTAAGACCCCCTCAATCACCAACCCCCACCAACCCCCCCACACACGTGGCGGGTGGCGATTGGAGGAGAATGAAAAAAAAAGAAAAAAAAAATTGGCCAATCAGGAAAGAGAGGGGGTGGTCAAAGGGGGTGGGGGGAAAGGGGGTCTTGATCATTTTTGTTATATTATAATATGAAACCAAACTTGGGGGGAAGAAATTACTAATGGTATGGATGATGTGAGCGTTGTGATGAAATGATGATGTGGAGGTTTAAGAGTTTGTATTGAATTATGTCGAATTGTATTAAATGGTGTTGAATTGTATTGAGTTAAGTTGAAATGTGTTGAATTTTGTTGTGTTATATTAAGTTGGGTTGAGTTGAGTTAAGTTGTGTTGGGTTGTGTTATGGTTTGTACCCACACGGGGAGTCAAAAATATTTTTGAGTGCCCACATCCTTCCGTATGATAGTCGGCAAAAGTGAAAAAAAACAATGATTTTAAAAATGTTTTTTGGTGCCCACGTCCTGCCGTATAATAGTCGGCAAATGTGGAAAATGATTTTAAAGTTGGAAATGGTTTTTGGGTGTCTACGTCCTGCCGTATGACAGTCGGTAACTGTAGAAAAACATGATTTTTGGAAAAATATGATTTTTGAGAAAATGGTTATTGGGAGTTCACTTCCTGTCGTATAATAGTCGGTAAAATGTGGAGGGTGTAATGAATTGGCTGCCCACTATCACACCGTATAATAGTCGACAAAAGGTGGAAGGTGTTATGAATTGGCTGCCTACTATCATGTCGTATAATAGTTGGGAAAAAGTGGAGGGTGTTATGAATTGGGTGTCTGTTATCCCGTTGTATCAAGTCGGCAAAAGATGGAATGTGTTGTAAAATGCGTTGAATCGGTGATGATATGAGTGACTTGTGATGAACTTAAGAAATTACAATTTGATGTGTAATTTAGTATGGAAGGGTAATACATATAGAAATTATTTGAAAAGAATGGATAAGGAAATAGTAATTAGATAAGGGATTGGTGATAATGAACTCACTAGGTTATATGTAATTATAAGGAGAGATAAGAGTTTTGTTTCATAATTAATTGAGAAATTGAATTAAGTGGGTTTATTATTCTTGTGTTATGTTGAATTATAATTGATATTGCAAATGTGGGTGTGAGGTAGTTGTTAGACAAATAGGAGTTGAGTGTAGGAGAATTGTTATTGAAAATAAAGGAGATTTGGATTTTTACGTTATGGAATTATAATAATGGGAATTAGTAAAAGCGAAAAATGAAAATAAAAAGATGATTATTAAAATGGAAATTAAATGAAGAATATTTTGGAATTGGTTAACAAATTCAAAATGATGTTGTTCCATAAACATATTTGTTTACGAAAATGATTTATGGTTTTTCTGATAATGAAGGATAATTTTTATAGCTGAAAGTTTTCCTTAACTGTTCAAAGAAATTTTGAGAAAAAAATACTCTACAAATAATATTTTGAACTTACAAAATGTCACCTTACTATATGGTATCACTCTACATGCATGATCATTTCTATCTATGTGTTAGTTATTATTGTAAAACTGTAAGATTCCTACTAGGCAATTGTGCTCATCCCTTATTGTTTTATTTTTTTTCAAGGTATTTTGATCCAATAGTTAAAGAGTTAAGAAGTCCATGAGTCTCTTTTGTGTAATTTCGTTGTGGATGTGAAGGAAATAAATATTGTATATTGATATTTGTAATTATTTATTTGTAGCTCCATAGCGGAAGCTTGGCCTGTATCATTGTTATTGTTGTATTCATTGAGAGAGAGAATATGTATTATTATGTTTCTATTACTCAAGGGGAATAGATATTTGTTTTAAAAAAAATGACCTAAATTAAAGGCTTTTGGTAATGTTTCTGAGTAGTTAAAAATTGGGGCATGACAAAAGACTTTCAGAAACTGACGTAGGCCAAAAGGTACCACATTGAGGTCGCTTAAGTTACATTTATAGTCTGTAAATTTTGTTTATTTGGTGGAGATGATGTGTTTAGTGCACTTGTACAGATTTGGCAGGACATATTCAAATTCAATCAAAAAGAGCACGACAGTAGATTATTCGTGCGAAAAGCGAAATATCCAAGCCAGCCACCTCATCGCACGTACGACCAAGATTCACCACACATGCAGCCCACCACCACTCG